TCCAATGTGCTCAATGTTATATTGTAATGTCTGTGAGCCTTTTAAAAATGAGGGACAATGTAAAATAAAATTATTATTCCTAAAATATGGTTTAAAGGTAGTAGTGAATGGCATTCTGGGAGGGCATAAGAACATAAAGTGGTAGAATTACATAGTAAATGTATTTAGTTATCTCCCATTACCGCAGCCCATATGTCTTCTTTTGAGAGATTATTATGCCTAAATATTGCAGTAAATACTTGTATTCAGCAACGCTTCACAAGACAAAGCTTTAATGTGATTACCAATTATCACAAATCCAAAACTCAGAAATAAAACAAGTGAAACCTTCCTGGTAAAAGCCCTTATATGCAGGGAAATGGTGCAGACGAACACAACTTAAAGAGGGGGAAATCTACATTCAACACGCAGCCAGTCAGGAAAAAAAGAACATCATCTGAAGTAAAATGCCTTGAAATAACGCACAAACTGTCTCCTCATGGCTCCCAGTGGCCCTGTTACGTTGCACTGAGGATCCTTGCTACTGGTGGGCGGGGCTCCCCAGTGCCTGTCCGGGCAGACGGTGTGTGATGATTATAGGCCCCTGGGGAGATCCAGGGGGTACTCCCTAATTGATTGTCATGAAAGGCCCTAATTGAATTAAGCAGCATGGTGGAACGACACACCATGCTGTCCATTTGATGCCTGAAAACCTGAAGGCAGTGGCTCCGGCGTAAAGTCTACTCTGAGATTTATGTGGAAAAGTTTTTACATCAGCTACAACTAAAGCAGAACTAAGAAACCTTTGACTTCGAGACGGAGGCTGTGCAGACAGGTTACTGCTTGTTGGCCGTAGGACATCATGCTCACAAATGTTTGAGCGGTTACAAATTTAGAGCGATCGAGGACATATTACAGTGTAAATATTACACAATACACCTTGCAGTCTTTGCTGGGCAAAGTTCATACACTTGAAGTGATGCGCTGGATCTGTCTTTCAGTGATCCATAATGAGCTGATGCACATCCTTTTATGTAAGACTGCACTTTATCAAAAATCATTGCACGTCGTATCATCATCTTCCTGTTTTTGTACCCATTTGTCTTCATTGTGTACGTTGTTTTACCTTGACTTTGGCGCTGCTTTGTTAAAAGCAACGATGATTTTAGAAAAAAAAGATGTAAAAAGTCCAGTTTTCCATTCCCAACCCAAAACGATATATTCACTCTAAATTACAATCACACAGTGCTTAATGAAAAGTAACACTACACACATTATTATACGATTTTTAAGTAGATTTCTAGTCAGTTTTGCTCCATGTTCACTTTCTACAATGCTAAAAAACAAGATCACGTTCGGAAGTTGAAGCCAGTGTAAAAGAAGTTTCTTTCTACTTCGATTTCCTCTCACCTTTAATTCTATTTCTCATCTTGTTTCATTTGTTCTCTGTATTTGCCCTTTATTCATTTATTTATCAATGCTCCTCAATGACTTTGTAACTCTGTGTAAACTTATAACATTTTTCAGTTTAGAAAGTTTTTGGAATTGACATAGACAGAAAAGCTATTTGGTTTGTTTTCCCCTTTTAAATGTTTGTGAAATATTAACAGTGGCTGATCAAGAGAGAAAAAGAGAAAACCACTTTTCAGACAGCAGCGGAGTGATGGAGAGAGTCAGACAGAGAGCGAGGCTCCCTCAGCACCAATAGGTCTGCTTTTGGAGAGAGACAGAAGGGGGAGGGAAGGGGAGGAGGGGGCCCTCGGATTAAGAGGCTGAAAAATGGTTAAAACGTGTCAACGTGTAATTGCACGATAAGGCCCCCTCGCGAGGAATCCGTTGGCCCCGTTGCTATTTTCTATGGCGTCCCGGCTAATCTCCTCGCGCCACATTCGGTCTTCTGCAATCGGTCCCCCGTAATCTCCCATGACAGAACCGGGTCCAACGTCGGAGGTGAGGGTTTTTATAGGAGGAGAGGGAGGGAAATATGCGAAGGCGTGATAAACTGATGCCGATTAGCCACGTTTAGGACACCGGGAGTACGCGGGGGGGGGGGGGGGGGTGCACAGGGTTATGGAGTGGGAAGAGCCAGAGCAGTGGTGTCCAAGTTTGTGCCAAGCTGAACATGAGGAGAGGATGGAAACCTGCAGACAGTGGATGGGTCCAGCCTCAGTGACTGCGCCTTTACGGGAGCAACCGGGGCTTCTGGGTAAAAGAGGACCAGGCAGCTTGATTTGTGACTGATCAATCCCAAATATCTTATTGCATACACGGACCTTTGCCTTAAAGTGGTGTCGATATTCCTCATTAGTCTATATTTCTTCTTACCTGCTTCAGTGAGGCCTGGTGTGATGTGATGTGATGATTTGATTCATCACACTTCTCAGATTATAATATCTTTTCATGGATTTAATATTGGGTGTATTTGGAGGAAAAATCTCTTGACATACCTTGAGGTTTGGTGAATTGATGCTCCTCACAGTCCGCTCTTGATCTTCCATCTTGGTGTCATCATCATAGAGAAGTATTTAGTAATAACTCCAGCTCAATCACACTTTATCTTATAATGAAATGGTCAAATAACTCTCTTTTTCCCCCTCATATTCATTTTCTCTTTGCTCACTTTTTCACAATGTCTTCATCTTTTAAATTCCCTTTGAGCACTCAACTCTTAACACCTCTGCCTTATTCTCTTTTACACAAAGTTTGTTTAACTTTTAGGTTCCACTTCACATTTTCTGGAACAGTTTTAATCGTATTTCCTTTTACACTCTTGAGCGTAAAAGAAGTCTGAGCACCAACTATTTTACAGCCTTTCAATCTTGCCGTACATTTCCTTCACATCGGTTAATCAAGTATTGATCACTGTAAATGTGGAATTCATAGGTAATACTGACTACCACTAAACTTGCTCTTTAAATTATCCCTGGCAAGTTAGCTCCGGAGATAAAAAAAAAAAAATGATTGACATTTATTAGTTGTCATCAGTCAAGCTGTTGCAAAATGCAAATATAAAGATCCTTTCTTATCAATATTATATAAATAATATAGATAAGAAAAATATACTTTAAAATAACCCTAACCTCATATTTATACATGTTTATATTTTTTTATTTCAGCGTATAGGTTATATTTTTATTTATTAAGATAGTTAAGATAAACCCTTCACATATCAATCCCAGTTTAAAGAGGAAAGACAATCCCAAGAAATAAAGCAATGTGAATGGAACTAAAATAAATCCCAGCGGGATCATTCAGGACTAATAAATACCTTCAGTTTAAACAGCTGACGTCCATGGAAACAGCTTTATTATGTGTGATTTGCATCCATGTTGCCCTCTTGTTTTTAAGTCCAGACCTTAGTGGGAATTACTCTGATAAAACCTGGGGTGTTGTTTGCCGGGCTTTTTGTTGGGGGTGACCCCCGGCTGCCCCGGCTTACACCACGACTAATCCCCATTCTCCTACAACACAAAAACCTGCTCTCCTCACCACCTCCTCTCCGCTCATTCATCCATCCCTCCCTCTCCATCCTACCCCGGGGCCTCCAGTGATTCAGCCATCGCATTTGAAGAAGGAAATAATTTAACAACCAGGAGAATCGCACACACACAAGCAGGCGTTTGATGCTGGGGGGTGAGGAATGGGGTAAGACTGGAGGACCCAGGTGGAGGCGGGGTTGAAGTGGGCCCAATTGAGGCCAGCTGAAGAATGAGTAGTTCATTGACCAGCGGATACTCTTGTTTTCACATTTACTTTAGCTTGAGATCTAGATTACTGAGGTCATGCCCCTGAGGCAGGTTAAAAAAAAAAAAGAAACTTTATATTTTACTAACAGATAGAACCACAACTTCAGCATGTGGAAGTGAGTCTAAAGTACATTTCAGACGATGCATTATCAAGTTTATAAATAATCGTGCCAGAATTTGAGGGAAAATACTCAAATGAATTGAGAAGCAAGGCTCATAGGAAAATAGATTTAGCTTTTAAAAAATACCCTGCATGCATTTTCAAAACAAAATGCAAGAAACAGAGAGAGTTAATAATTCATAAAAATAAAATATATCCCTAAAAGCAGTTGTGTTTGTGCTATGTATGTTCTGGCATTGATCAATAATAAACATCAAAATGTAGTTTTGAAGCATGGCAGTCATCCAAAATGTGGCCCAATTTAAAATGATAGGAAAATGGAAAATGAGGCTGTTATTAGGTTAATTATTGTACATTAGTCTCCCTGCAGAGAAAATCCTCAACCAACAAGTGTTTAGTTTAACCACTGAGTCACAGGATGTCGGGTAATCTATTCTCCTAATATGAACCCTGTATCAGCTCTTATCAGGTATATATTGTGAGCATAATTATAATGTTTGAAACATAATTTCACAATTACAGATATTAAATCTTAGGCTTAAGACTAAATGACAAAAACAAAAAGTAATTTCAGGAAAATCAATGTATGCCTTTAGCCTATTTTCATATTCTATCCCCCCAATATAAACCATATGCTCACAAATCTCCCATCAACTTAATATGACACATTATGATGTCCAACATGCATTTATATTGATGAAACACATATCATCAGGATTCGTGCAGCTAAAAAGAGGATAATTAGAAGATCTAACAGATTTGTGTTTCTATTATGAAAGCACAAATGTATAATATTAAATTATGTTTAACTTTCGGAGAAATAATAAATGAAGGGCCCGACTGAAAAATAATCTATTCAAGGGCATCACCGAGAAAACCTGTCTGCTATTATATGTCTGCTAATTATTGTTTTTATGTTATGATTCACATTTTGAGCAGATTGTTTTACTGTTTGCCACGACGTCATTAAACCCATGCGACGATACAATGAGCTCATTTTACAATATCTTTAAGAAATAGAATCAATGTGAATAATATTGGAGGAACAGTTTCCTTAATTAATTTACACTTTACGAAAATGCGTTAAAATTGTTTCGTCTTCAACCCGAAAAGAAAGCTTGGTATTTTGTAAATTATGTACAATTGCATACAAATGTTTTCAGTAGGCCTATTTATTCACAATTTACAAGATTTTACAACAGCAAAACAAATTCAAATTACACCGACTGAGTCACATGTTTACAAGCATTAAAACTGGAAATCAATTTATATTGCAGCCTAGAAACTTTTTTTTTTTTTTTTAAACACATCTTCCACACCGCCCTCCATTTATTATACGGTTCCCTCTTTAAACAGGTTTTCAGGACCCCTCAAACACACCGTGGTGCCTTTAATTCCACAGAAAAATCGGAAAAAATAACCTTCAAAATGCACCAGCCGTCACGGATTATAATTTAAATCGTGTCAAAAACTTGGCATGCTCTGTTCCAGAGAGCAAAAGTAAATTGGATGCGCTTTCCTTTAGCTCGGACAGACAAAAATCCATCACTGAAAGAAAATAAAAATAACAATAAAAAAGTTTGTTCAAAGTGATTGCATTTTTATGGCTATAACCGCCTATAATTTACAATTCATCAGCAGCCTGCGCCCACATCTACGTTTTTAAATATTTGGTTGTGGTTTGTAGTGCTTATACATTTACAGATTTAAATATGAGTCAGAGGAACAGTCCCGTTTACCGGAGTGGAGCCGCTGCTCTGGTAGTGCTGCGGGTGGAGCACGTGCAGTCTGCTATGAACGGTGGCGTCCCCCGCCGCTTCGCCGGTCGGCAGATACATGCTGATCATGTCCCGCAGGTCCCCCGTAGGGCACGGCGGTGGTCCGCGCGCCGTGGAAACTGGGGGGCTCACGCTGGGCTCAGATTTCACAAGGGACCCCAAAGTCCCTCCGATCGTCCCGGACACCGGGGAGACACCGGAGCTTTGGTGCTGGTGAGTGTAGCCGGTGATCCCTCCGTAGCCCGGCGGAGAGGCGCTCATGTAGCTCTGAGAGTTTGAGATGGGGCTGTAAGATAAGGCGCTCATGTCGTACCTGTGCACGGGCTGCGGGTTGTGCGGATGGTGATGATGCGGGTGATGGTGCGGATGCGGGTGGTGCGGGTGACCTCCGGAGCCCGGGTGTTGCGTGTATGCCAGCTGCGCCTCCTGCATCATTGCGTGAGCCGCCGCAGCTGCAGCCGCCACCTGGCCCGAGTATGTGCCGTTCGCCCAGCCGTTCACGTGCGTGGCGTAGCCCGCATTCCCCGCGTGGCCCCCTCCGGGACTCTCCAGTCTCTGCCCTCCGCCCATCCCGATACCCACAGGTGAGCCGAGGAGCCCGCCGGCCAGCGAGTACTTGTCCTTCTTTAGCAGCGTCTTGGTCTTCCTCCGCGGCCGGTACTTGTAGTCCGGGTGTTCCTTCATGTGCATGGCCCGGAGCCGCTTCGCCTCGTCGATGAACGGTCTCTTTTCTGCCTCGGTCATCACCTTCCACTCTGCGCCCAGCCGCTTGCTGATCTCAGAGTTGTGCATCTTGGGGTTCTCCTGTGCCATTTTCCTCCGCTGGCCCCGGGACCAGACCATGAAGGCGTTCATGGGTCTCTTGATTCTGTCCTGCGGGACTTTGCCCCCGGGCCCCCCGCCTATTCCTCCCGCGTGCCCCCCCGGGTTAGATGGGTTGGTCTGGGGCACCATGGGGGAATGTAAGTCCGTCTCCATCATGATGCTGTACATTCACCTGGTCTTGGTAGGACAACACTTCTCAGTCAAATACACAGACACATTCAGTCTGGCCCGCGCGCAGCTAAACCTCCGAGACAACGAGCGTTAAAAGAAACGAGGAGCGATGAAAAGGTGCTGCAGTCTCAGGGTGAAATCCACTCAGAGGTAAACTTGTTCCGCACTTCCCCTTTTCGCCTCTTTCTCCTCCTGTCATCCGCGAGAGCCGAGAAGAATAGAAACCGGTTGTTTGAGCTTACTTTGGTTGAAGCTGTACTGGGAAAAGTTACCGGAGCGTGCTCTGGCCGCGCGCTTTGACAGCAGCTAAATGAGCAAGAGGCGGCCAATGGAGAGGCTCCAGTGGAGACGTGATTTGCATGCAGGGGCTCGAGGTTCTGGTGACGTCGGAGCGCGAGACCTACAAATTACTCCCTCTGTCATCTGTTTCCTGTGTGTAGCTAAAAACATACACGACATGTAAACAGTTTAATTCCCATCATTTTATTTACAGGCTACAGAAAAAAAACAATGTTGCAGCAAATACTACCTGATAATGAATGAAAGTCAATGTTGCGATCATTTAATAAAAAGTCTACTTTTAGCATTGATGACAACCTCTTAACTTAAACTTAAAACACTGAAGAAGCCTATTAAGCTCATCTGTGAGTCCTACCAAATCAGAAATAGGATATATGATTTTGAGATTACATTTTTAGGGCTCATACTCTTTTCATACATCGTTCTTTAATTTCTCTCTTTTTTTGTCAAACTATATGAGGGCTACACCGCCTCCTATTCAGAGCCACAGGTGCTTTTCTGTTGTGCCCGTTGCTAGGAAACAGGTGACTGACGCCCGGAACACGTGCCGTTCAAAGAGGCCCTTTTGTTTGTTTCACCAAAGCTGCAGGAGAGCACGAGAGGAAGGGGGGGGAATTTCAGCCCGCTAGAAAAACTGTAATCCTATAATAAATGTCAGAAATATAGATTTTGAATGATGACATTTTAATAAACTAATGGAATATGATGTGGCCTGCTGCGATAGGCCCAGAGCTCCTCTTCCTAAAATAGGGATCAAGGACTCTTCTGCCAAAGCAGAGTTCCTTTGATTCTATTGAGTCTGTAAAGGAGAGACTGCTCTTTTCAAACAAACAAACCAATTTAACCTCATTCAATTGTAAACAAAAAAATATAAAATAATACTATTACTGCTCTACAACTGACAATAATAATTATACACATAGACCATGTTATACTTGTTTTATCAATAAACTGTGACTAATACTTAATACCCATCAACATTTTAGAGCTTAAGGTGACATATTTCAGTGACTCGTTTTGTCCAACCAACAGTAGAAAATATAAATATATTCAGTTTACTACCGCACCAGACAAAGAAACACGGACAGTCTTAACATTTAAAAACAGTGAATGTTTGGCGTTTCTGCTCAATAAATAACTGAATCAATCATTGCAGCTCTGTATTTCACATTAGTTAGTAGAAATGTGTCAATTTCCGTGCATTCTGGCTCTATTTCCACACTATGGGGCCTCTAAGTGCAGTGGAAAAGGAAGGAATAGATTTATATTTCATTTATCATTGGTGTTTGTTGTTTGGTATTCGGGTCTCCTCCTGCTTCACTGGCTTCCCGTCATGTGGAGGATCTTTTCAGCCCTCTGGGATTATGCTCCCAAGTGGCATCTGTCAGGTGCTGCCTGCCTCTCAGCGAGCTGATAAACTACACTGGCACGCTGGCAGGGCTGGATTTTCCTCTCGCTGCCTTGTACCAGTGCTGTTAAGTGGCTTGTATGATCTGTTTTACTCGCACACTGTGACAATCTCCTCTCTTTCTGCCTGTTTGCATCCAGAAACACACGGATGAGCACGTTGTACGCAGAATACATTACAGCAAAAATATCTTGTGATCCAAATGATTCAGTAGCAATGACACATTTAAGAACAGTCTGTACCGGATTCAATCAAAGTCCAACTGAAATGTATTCATCCCTTTTTTTTAGACTTAGTGGTTAAAGTAAACAAACAGTGCTGTTAGTTGTATTGAAGTAAGGGTTGCTGCATGTAGATGTTGTTCAATGTGCTGCAGCTAATTGGCTCTCGAGTGTTTGTTTGGTCTAATGTGCAGGAATAGATGCGTGTTGTTGTGTGTGTGTTGGAGAAGAAGGAGGCTTCAGCAGGTACACAGGACGTGTGATTTAATGAAGATATATTTAGCGGAGCAGATACAGTTAGGTACAGTATATTGGTGTTTCTGAGTGATAAACCAGATTACATTTGATAGCAAAATGAATAAGAAACACATTAAAAACAAGCAATATTAACATGATCAATTTATCCAAATGTATCAGACTATCAGTCCTTCATTTCTGCATTTAGATATAGTGTGTACACCCATACTCAATTGCATGACATACCCAGCTAATGCAGGTCGATACATCTCTACGTATCTCTCGGGTCAGTTCCCTTCATCAGTTCAAATGTTTGACAGCATGTCTTTGCTGTTAAATAAGTGTGTTAAATGTGTAGCAGAGCCCCGTCTGGGACTGTCCCATCTAAGTATTGCCACACCATCAACGTCCTGTTCATCCACCAACAGCTCATTTCCATTTGTGAGAAAAAGAGTGACGTGATTGGGTGTTAGAACGTCGTAAGAAACGTAACTTATTGACAGTTTATCATAATTCCTCATTTTTGAATGGAGGACATTTACTATGATGATGAGTGTTAACAGCTGCTCTTTGTGTCGCTTTTCTAGTCTCATATAAGTAAAAGTCCGTATGAATTCTGAATGAATAATTAATTCATGTTTAGTGCTGTATGAGCATATTCAACATTTAAATAAATACTATAACCAGTGTGAGTGAAACCATCTTTCTATTCATGGAGGGTCACTCTTGATCTTTGGAAACCATAAATGTTTCCAAAGATATCTTCACTAAATATGGTTTGCATGGCTTTTACTGTAATAAGGGAATTGTTTAAGGGAAGACATTTTAATTAATTAATGACCATTACATATAATTATGCCTGACATATCAGCACCTTCTTTTCCCCGACACACGCTAACGGACCGAGCAGAGGATCAAAGAGCGCTTGGAGGTAAAACGCAGCCGTGAGGATGTTCTTCACTTCTTCACGCTGCTATTTGGCCTGAAATCTCTAAGCCAACAGGCCACAAACACACACAGGCCTCGTAGAATCAAAGGCATTTCTCCTGTGCAGCAGCCGGCCCGGTGGGTTTGTTTAAGGCTCGCTGTCACAGCAAGCTGTCAGCTCTACTGGAGCTCAGCCTTACAGGCAGAGCAGGGAGCACACTAACACACACACACACACACACACACACATGCATACAATACATATACACAACAGCAAGCTGTGACATATGTCATTATAAGGGCTCAGAGAAACAGTTCAGCCGTCTCAGCTCTGGATGTGATTATGATGAAAATAGTAATTAAAAGTGTGTTTTACTGTAAAGGTGTAGTAGTGATCACTTTTCATATCAAATAAGCTCATTAACCTTTGAGGAAATGACTATTTTCTTCAGTTTCTCTCCATACACAAACTTTGTTTGACATATTTTTTTCATGCTATATTGTGCTATTTTTTAATTCCATGCTAAACATTTATGGCATACTATATTTTGACTGTTTTCCGATATTTCTTACAACTTTTGTGATTTTTGCACGGCATTATTTTCTGACATTTTATCGACTAAAATGTTTAATTTAATCAATCAAAAAACGCTACTTGACAAATTTATACAAATAATCTTTTTTTTGCAGATGGGATTGAACCCAGTTCATTCCAGTCCCATGAAGTGTCTAAAGGAGCTGTTTAACGTTGTAGCAGCCCTCCAACACGCCTCTAATCTGCCTCTGTGTTTGTTGCAGCTTGGTGAACCGATGGATGAAGCGGCCCACATCATCCTACACAATCACCACACGCAGTGCAGCACCGAGGACGATGAGAACGCTGAGAAGAACCCGGTAGGCTCTGATGGAAAACACCTGACAGGCTGACATGTTTTTGACATATTATATTATCTCCTTATCTTGAAAGTTTCTGCTACATCACAGATCCCACACTTGGTGTTGGTGTTTCATTTATCTGGTGCCTGCTGATACTGTCTGAGCTTTGAAATAGTCAGAAAAAGTTTGTGATTTCCTCAATTAGTAGAAATGTAACAGTCGTAAGTGGCAGCCAATGTGAATGAATTCCCTTTGCTCCAACAGCATTTGTAGGCATCATGAAGCTTTGACTTCAAGGTTTTCAAATTCACTTTCTTCAATAACTCCCATGAATAAATTAACCAGTTGCAGCCATCTACATGGAGACTAACATCATCTTTCTTCCATCCATTTCCCCCACTTTCAAGTGTCAAAGTAAAGTGGCCCGGTGTACCGAACACTGTCGAGCATTTGCACTCATCATTTAATCATCGCACCTCGTCCTTTGATTGATGCCTAATGAATGCCCGGGGTCTCGGTTTACAAGACGATCGCTAACTGAGCCTTGCTAATGGGTTTGTGCCTGTCTGCCAGACAACCCGGGCTTCAGGCAGAGACGTCTGCGTTTACACCCGAGCTTCAAGACCATTTATTCTATCATTTCTCATACCGCTATAACATACTTCCAGCAGTGTTAACAGAGGAAACCAACCCAACAATGCATATTCTGAGCTGTTCTCTCCTGCTGTAGACAACACTTCCATGTTCATAATCGGTTCCATGTGTGCCACAAAAAAGAGGAGGTTTCCGCATTGAGCTAATAATGTGAACAAGACCTCTTGTAATTTTCAACAGCGTCTCATTGCAAGTACTTTCACAATTAGCGACCACATCATTCATCGGCAGTAATGGTCTGAAACTAGTGGGAGACAAATGGAATGTATGTCTTCACAGTGCAGAACGCGACATATCACACTATTCATTTTCCGTATGCTTAATTCTCTCCTTTAGGGTCTCAAAGTTTTGATTGCTGAGGGCCAATTTAGGGAGCCAGCATATGATTGAGGGTCATACAGTAAAAGTTCCATTTCACTTCTGCAGCGTTATCGCTAACAGCACTAGCGTTGATGACGGAATGTAATTCCTGCGAAACTTGGGAGGTACCGCTGACATACTTTACTTTCATTTGTATATGAAATAAATACTATTACATTGTTTGTGACATACTATACTGTACTATGAAATTATTTTTACATTTATGCATTTTTTTCGTGTCTCCATTCTCCAGAAGACGCTGGAGGAGCAGCTGGAGAACCAGAGGGAAGCTCAACAGAAGACCAGGTCAATGCTGGTAAGGAGACAGTGTAAGGACACTGTTCTGTTAATACTTTTATACATATAAGTTACCGAAAAACATTTGATAACGATCAAATCAAATCTCTAGTAGTTTTAGCGCTTGAAGTTCTTGAAGTAGTAGTAAAAATACATAAAATAAGTCATAAAGAGCCCTAATGTAGTATGCCATAAAATGTCATAAAAACTATATAAAGTATAGTGTGCCATAAAAAAGGTATAATATGTCAGTAGGGTATGTATGGTTAAAAGTCATAGTAAAGCTTGTCATAAAAAATTCAGAATATAGTAAAAAAAATTTAGATCTCAGAGTAACCGCACAGCAGCAGTGAAGAGAAGAAACCCCGTCGTCCTCTGGTCTGGTCTGGAAAGTCTGCACTCATCTGAGGAGAGAAGAAGAGAAGGACAACGTTAGAAAATGCATCACATACTGTACATGTATTATTATTACTACAACAATAACAATAAATACAAAAAAAAGTTGTCAAAGTTTTGATGAGTGAGTACAAACTATATTAGGACATACCATACTATAACTTTTTTAATGGCTTACAATAATATCTTTTATGTTACACTATACTTGGATTTTTTCATGACTTTTATGACATATTATACTATTACTTTTTTACGACATACTATATTAAGATGTTAATATACAGTAAATGACATTGATGACATTCTTTTTATGAGAGTTTCATTAATTTTGTGACATAATATAGAATAATATTTTAATGATTTTTATGACATACTATACTATGACATTTACTTCAACCAGTACTGCTAAAATTTCGACTGCACAGAAAAAGGATGCAGGTTAGAATGCTCAGTTAGAAATCAAATTAATTGATTAATTACCAAATGATTATTCCTCCCACTCCGGCTCTCGTCTCCTCCGGGCCTTTCATTCAGCAGTCTGGACAGACAACAGAGACATTTATAAAGCATGTACAGCTGCTATTGCATCTGACACGAGTGTCTCCTGCTCCCATAACAGACCCTGGTTTAGGCCGCGATAGGAAGAAGATGAATGCCTTACTGTCCTACACTATGACATGCATTAGCATCTCTGTGTTGGCAGCCCGTGAACTCTAAAAGAACTGTAATCCTCTGCACCTAACTGTAATTACTGTAAAAATAAAAAGCTAAAGTAATTGTGCACATAATGTAATTGTTTCACGAGACAACATGATTTTTATTGTAAAAGTTATGTTTACATTCAGTGTTTCGCACCAATAGGTGTGAGATTGTTGAGGACTTACAAACGTGATGAATGCATTTATTTCCTTATAAAACATTAGAGAAGACCTTTTTTAATCCTGCATTGTTCATGTCCATGTTAGCCACAGCATCTTGGGGCGGTCCCAACTGAACTAACTGTGAAGTGAAATTCATGAGCAGGATTTTCAGGGAAAAGACAGGACAAGAAATGCTAAAACAGAAAATAAAAAGGACTGATGATAAGTTACTGTGGAGCGTCGCTGATTAACCTTTGACCTTTAATACTTTCAGCTTCGCTCTTCACATCAAACCTTAGTTTCCCATCAGTCCTGCATTTGCTACAGGACAGTCAAGCAGTCTTGATGCAGCAGCTACGTTTTATTTGTACTTCCCTCACACACACACACACACACACACACACACACACTTAATTTAATTAGAGCATGTGCAGCCTCCTCCTCTGCCAGTATTGTCACGGCGCTGCAGAGCAGCCAACACTATCACTGATTGCTTCTAGATAGGAAGAAATATGATTAGACCACGTGTGTGAGTTCCTCTGTTTACGTGTGTGTGTGTGTGTGTGTATGTGTGTGTGTGTGTGTGTGTGAGGTGGGAAGAAATCTGATTGTGGTGAGAGCAGAGGTAAGCTGAAGGGTTGACAAGGATGAGGAGATGATTGGATATAAGGATAGAAGAGGAGAGGACAAGGCGGAGGAAGGAGGAGTGAGCTGATACATCCATTTGTTGATGCTGCACTTCTGCTGTAAGAACGGTCACTTCTAAAATATGGCTTCAACATATCGGAGAATTCGCTTTTATTCAAGAGTGAGATGAAAAGATTGATATTAGTCAGAGCTGCATCACTTAGCATTCAGTCTGGATGAAGGAAAATTCACTCATTTATCATATAAAACTCAATCGTGTGAAGTAAAGTTAGATTTTATAGAGACTTTCGAACAATACCAAGATGGCATACATATTATAAATGAGTTGACTTTAGATTTGTTGGTTGGCATATTTATGTTTTTAATCTTTGGACAGAGCCATGCTAGCTTTTCCCCTCTGCGTATAGTCTTTATGCTAAGCTAGGCTATCCATGTCCTGACTCCTGCAGACAAGAAATCAATATCTTCTCTCATCTCACTCTCTGACACAAAGCAAATAAACATATTTCCCTGAAAGTAAGTTGGTATCGGCCTCCGGAGCTTCACATTGTTAAATTATTATTAGGTGACATAGAGGAAAGGGTCGATGGCAAGACGATGTGAGGAGGATAAAACGGGAGGACGAGGAAGCTCCCTAGGATCTCATTATTAGTTTGATTTTCAGATGGACGGGAGGTAAACATGAAAGCTTTGATTCTCAGTAAAATAAGATTAGTGCTTTTAACGGGAGAAGGGCAGCAAGAGAGGGAGGGGAAGGAAGGACGAAGGGAAACGTGGTGAATAGGAGGGAAGAATGAAGAAGTGACCTTTACGGAAGGAGAGAAGGAGGAACCCCACTGAGGAGTGGTGAAAAGAAAAAAGAAAGGGAGGTGAGGTGGAGAGAGGAGGGAGGGAGGACGGGGAGAGAGTGACCCCTGTGAAAACAGATTAGTGGACCATGAAGAGGATTACCAGCAATGATAGTCCCTCTGAGGGAGCAGAGTCTGTCCCAGCCAATGCAAACACACACGAACGCACACACACATAATGAACACATCAAAAGTGATCAGCATCAGTCCAACCTGTCCAGGCTAATGCAAACAAACACATAACAAGTACATGTACTCCATCCAGCACAGTACACATTTCCACCACATGAATCCGACAGATAAAGTCACTTTACAGAAGTTCACATAAAAATCGGTTTAGTTGAAGTTTAAACAACCAAACGCACACAACTTAAACTCAAATATCCAGGTATCTTCTCGGGGGACAATAACTGAGAACATGGTCTTTTTCTCTCCTACTTCTTGTACTTGTAACACTACTCTGCATGTTCAGTAAAGAAATACCACTTGAGATTGTACTCCTGAAGATTGGTAAAGTGCAGATGAGACGAGATGCAGTCGCATGGAAGTCCACCATAAAACAGAAACGACTTCCTTCAACAATTACAAAAAAAGACCGACCGAAGCACAAAGACACAGACCGATGGGCTCTGCTGAATAAACAGACATCGTGGTATCACGCAACTGCAAGTTCAACTTGGTTTTTGGTGTGTGTGCAGTTCCCAATCAACCAGCAGAAGCACCATCGTGGCTGATTTTAACTAACACAATTATTCTTTGGGGCAGGAAGTTCTGTGATCTGAGCAAGAGATTAATAAAGAAAAAAACAGTCAAAAGTTACTTATTTTACTCGTGAATTAATGTTAATATAACATCTACATTTTAACATTTTAAGAATGACAGTGAGGGCAAGTTAAAAATAAAAAGCCTGAATAATATAGTCATAGCTCTTTGTTTATCATAACTAATAGGACTGATGGCACATTGTAGCGACTTCTTACCGCTGGCTAGTTTAATCTTCTCACCGTGAATAAGATGCTGAAAAGATGAGCATTTGTTTTGGGTAACAAATCTAAATGTACAAAGTAACTCGCAACCAAAGCTGTTGAATAAATACATAAAAAGATGTAAAAAGTACAGATTTTACTGTGAAAGTCGCAGAAGTACAGTATAATAAAAAGCAGAATATTTAAATACTCAAGTAAAGTACTTGAGTAAATGCACTTAATTACATTAGAACTCAGGCTTTTTACCTGTCCTACTTGTGTTTTTATTTCTTTATAATGTAGATAATGTTAATCTGTGACAAAAACAATAGATCAATCCATCTTGAATTCAGCATCGCAAAATGCAGAAAAGGTCAGATGGGTTTATTACAAGCTTTGCACACACAAATCAATCCCCAAATCAAATGATAAAAGACACTAAACCTTTCCTTCTGGCTGACATTTCTCTCCGTCCCGCTGAGGGAAAGTTCTGCTTATCAGGACCCCCCTCAGAGGAGGACGGGGGTCCTCTCCACTCATCCTATATGAGGGCTTTTTCCTCCCTTTTCTCTGCTGTTGGTGGGGGGTGTTGGGCTCTGGGAAGAATGAGGACTTCCTGGGGAGGGCCTTTAAGTGCAGAGCTGAGGAGTCTCTCTCTCTCTCTCTCTCTCTCTCTCTCTCTCTCTCTCTCTCTCTCCCCCCCCCCCCCCCCCCCCCCTCCTCATACTTCACCTCCATGTCTCTCGCTCATCCTAAATGGGGTCAAGCTCCCAGTCAGATCTGCTGCTTTCAAAGACCCCAAAGAGCAGCTCTCCTCCACCTGCCCTTTCCTCCCTTTCCTACCCTCCCTCAACAACCTTTTCTTCTTCCTTTGTTTCCATTCCTGCCCTTCACCTTCCTCTCTTCTTCTTCATCTTTCCTCTCAACCCTGCAGCTGCACTGTTCTCGTCTGCCTGCCTGCTGTATCCATCTCTCTGTCCATTATCTAAAGCTGCAATATTTGGCTTTTTCTGCTCTTCACTGCATGATTAATATGTGAGCAGTACAGCGGATCAAAAAACATCAACGTCTAGGTCACGCTACATATAACGTGACCTAGACAGCTCGTTTTTTTGCGATAGACTTTTATGAGGAAGTCTAGATCAGTGTTTCTCAACCTGTAGGTCTGGTCACATGATTAATCTGAGGGGTCGCAAGACGACAAAAAACATTTCTGCTGCACAACATTGTGTTTACTTTTGTTCTGACTTTTCTCAAATGCGAGAGACTAATGAAGCGATCTGACATCTGTTACTAAACTGCTCACAGCTCATAAAGTATGTCAAATGTCACAAGGGGTCACTAGTAGGCATGGCTTTAAAGGCTCAGAAGAAAAACTGATTGGGAACCAAGTTCAGACGTCTTTTTACCTGCTAATCAACAAACCACTGCTCACTAGAAAGACTGAAAAGGTTTTAGTCCTGTCCGGGTCAAAAGGCTTCTGAACCAACATTTAGATTAGTATGGGATTTAAAATCTCCACTGAAACCAGAATACAGACATGTGATATTAAAACGATTCATGCATACCCATGTGAATCACATCAGGACGAGTTCCACCTCCAGCTAATAGATCAAAACACACGAGGGACTCCCCAAAACACTTTGAGCTGCAAACTCAAGTTGTACAGTAGCTCTGTGCATTTGCTACAAGTGGATGCAATGGTGTTATTAAAGATTGTGTGCACATGCAGTGAAAGCCATTGCTCTGTGTCACGCTCACACAATAACCACATTTTCACCGAGATGAAATGTTTCAGCTTCGGGTTGAGCACATGCGTATCTCACACATGAACCCCTAATGAAATGGCAACATTCGCTATAAATGCAGCTGATCATTGGCCAATGAACCTCAAGCACCTGTCTGACACACACCTTCATGCCTCAAAGGGCCCTCCCCTCTTTGATAAGTAGCAACATACCTTCCCTCCTTTTACCGGGCATCCATCTGTCCATGGGAGAAAGCAGGAGATACATCCATCAATCAGTCCATCCAGGATGAGGCCAGTTCTGTCATTTCTACACTCTTTACTCTATTTCCTCTTGTTGGAGGGATGAGTAGGAACGGATCATTGAGGAGAAATAAGTGGATGCCAAGCGTAGAACTCCCCTTACGCTTCGTAAGTTCTTATTGTTCCCATATACTTTCCGCTGCTCTCCCATCAGGATGCTCACCCTCTCAGCCTAGCAGTGACAGAGATGGTCCCATAGCATCACCTTTTAGTTACATTTCTGCAGAACTCAAAGCTCCCATCGCCAGCAGCAAGTGAAACCCTCCCTGATGACTTGCTGTAATAAGAACAGCTGTCCCTTCCCTCGGTAGCCATGTCTTTTCTATAAATTCCCTCCACTCCTCAGGTCTTTGCAACACCACCGCCGACGGTCAGCATGGCTCTCCGCTCTCCTCCGACCCATACCAGGTTTTATTTAATTTGTCCGTATAATAGACGTGAATGAACCCAGGGGTTTTAGGGTTGCACAGGCAGAGAAAGCGACGGACGAGGGAGGGGCAGGCCGCTCAGCAATGTGTGTCAAAAGAGAAACAATAAGTGCCATTATTTTTCATTGGCTTCCCCTTTTTGAAAATTACTTCCAAAGTGTGATGTCCCATTGTGGGAGCAGAATAACGCTGAACAATGCAGGGGGGGGGGGGGGGGGGGGGGGGGGTAGTCTTATATATCCAGGCTAATATTCAAGGGGGCTTTGGCCAATGCTGGCTGGCCTGCACTGGATAACCCTGCAGTGCGACTGGCCCTGGGTTAGCCTCATAATGGGAGGCATTGGGAGGCCTTTAGTTCCCATTGTGGCGGCTGTGTCAACAAAGAGGCCGCTGGGAGTTGCCTGGCATGTGGGATGGAGAAAAGGCCCTTTATCCCTTCCTTTTTAGAGTAAGAGAGAGAGAGAGAGAGAGAGAGAGACGTTATCACAGCGGCTCGATGCATCATGTCTCTCTCTCGTGTCCCTGTTTACCCGTTAGACCGATTGTCTATGGAGAAGAAAATGTACCAAAAACAGATCATTGGTTCCAGTGCTAAATGCTAACACCCTAGCATAACCTGTAAACAATGACTCTGTCTGCGCACAAATGGATTAAACTACTGTATATGCATTACACATGATTCTCTTTCAATTCCAGTTTATTGAAACTTGGGTCCTTTTTTTCACAGTAATCTATATAAGTAATGGTATATATATATAAGTAATGATACACAGTCCTCACCAAGTTAACTGCTGAACTTTGGGAACACAGCAAAGTTACTAAAAAGACGTTTCTTGTGGGAAGAAACAGAAGCAGTCCGACAGGTTACATCGCAGTTTACGAGCCGACTTCCTGCTTCAACTTTTACCTGCTGCTTTCAGCTTAAAACTATAGATTATTTGGGAGGTCTGTAATCAATATCACTGATTTAATAGCTGCTCGACCAGTTATGTTGCTAATATCATTTTTGGATAAACCTGGGACTTTAATGACACACCTAAAATGTCAGTAACTGGCAGCTTCAATTGAATAATGCTCTTCAAAACTCTTATGAGGGGATCTTTAATTTGTTAAAATGACAACTGTTGAAGGTGAAATAATGGACAGTGTGTACAAGCCGCTACTCGAACCTCTCCCCCTTGCTTCCATGTTTTAGAGCAACACACACACACACACACACACACACACACACGCACTCTTACATGAGCAGTGGATTAGCTTGTCAATATCACTGTCGACCCATTCATTCATCCAACTCCACCTGGGAAAGAGACGGACATGTGTGTTTACTCTAGATTCTATTCCCCGAGGCAAACACACACACACACACACACACACACACCACTATTATGCTCGTCTCCTGGCTGCGATGCGGCAACCTTGAAAAAGCTGAACAAATAGTTGCATCCAAACACACGTGTACACACATGTATGCAAATACACACACGCAGAACAGCAGCACCTAAACAAACAGGCCCAGCGATGGTAGCGGCACACGCCAAGCAGCTCTCATTACCAGCCAGCACAATGAGCTATCGTCACACACACACACAGAAGAGCGACACAGTCAATACCCAGCGAGAGTTCAGCGCGCACACACACCAACACACCAACACACTCGCTCTCTTCCAGTGTCAATAATGAAATTCATATCTGTGAATGGGTTTTTATTTTTAACGCGGTACAGGCTCACTGCAGATATAAATGTACATTATTTACGCAGAGAGGAGAGGGGTAGATGATAAAATGGGAGGCTGGTGGACAACTCTGGATGCAGTTTGTTTACTACATCAGCAGTTTCCTATTGGTGCCTGTTGTTGGGCTGACATAGATAAAGCTCAGAGAGAGAGAGAGAGCAACTGGTCAGCATAGAAGGCAACAGAAAGGAGGAAAAGCCTGGCAGTGTTACTCCATGTGTCAGAAAAAAACACACACGACAAATATCTCCACTTTTTTATATTTTAAATGAAGTGTGTTTTCTGTTTCTTTCCACTGTTACTGCTAAAAAGCTTATTGACGCTCTTTTTTCCTGTGATTAGAGTGTGTCGGGGTCTGCATTAGTTTGGCCTGAGAGTGGACTGTTTCTCCTTAAATATTTAAATATTGATTTGATATTCAAGTCTTTTTTTTTTTTACACTAAAAGAACAAAATGTCTGCTGTCTCAGCTTCTATAATGATTCTATTCTTGTTAATTGTTGTATTCATTTAGTTTGTGTTTGACTCCACCTTCATCTCTCAGTAGTGATTTGTGCTTATAGTAACTAAATGCTATGACATACTTCTAAAACATTCCGGTCTTTATTGCATGGAGACATGATATAATCTTACACCTACACTGCACATCATCACATTTATATTTGTCTACCTTAAATGCTTTGTTCTTCTACTTTCCATCTCTGAAACAATTTCCTCTCAGCGGTCATTAAAGGACCTTATTACCTTGTGTACACACTTCACATGTGTGCACATGTGCGCGCTCACTCCCCGCTAATGACAAGCCCTCCAGCTAACCTGCTGACCCCTCATCAGAGCGACAAAGAGGCAGATAGCAGCAGCAGGACAATAAGATGGAGAGGTTGCTTCGGGTGACGAGATAAAAGCAGTGACACGACAGCGATGGAGGGATCAAGAGCACGACAGGAGGAGTAAGGGGGCTAGGGTGATGGCATTAAACTCGGCTTGACTGTATCCAGGTTGAAAATGAACTGTGAGCTAGTAAATTAAAGGTACTGTACTCCGGCGATTTAGTATTTAAGAAAGAATCAAGGTAGCAGAGAGCGAGATATCCTGACTTTTCATATAGTGTGGGTCAAACTTTCATGGCAACATTTTGAGATCATGTGATTTTCCGTCTCTTGCCTCTTTCATACATCATCCGTGCCTCCACACACCTTCCTCTACGCGTATGTCAGGTAGCTATTTAGGTGAAGACTGCAGAGCGTCACAGCTCAGCCGGTCGAACCGGACTGATGATCAGGATAAGAGCGAGAAACAGCCGTGTCCATCATGCTGTCAGTCTCCAGCGTAAAGAACATGCATTATTGTCTCATCATTGTGCTGTCAGCAGTCACACACACACATATGTAGTGGCGCATACTGTCAATCCGCACTGATAAGACATCCATTACGCTCCTTTCAGTCTGACAGACAACATAAGCATGTTTTTAGGAGCATTAAATCACACGTACACACACTGCTAGCACCATCTGAAATGGGCCATGGACCCACTGAATGGATCAATTATATCCCCATCTTATTTGATGGCGTGGGTCTTGCTCGTGAGATAATTTAGTTGACGTTCAAAGCAGGACCTCACCTCAAACTTCTTCCTGTCATACGTCTACTAACGCCCACTGCCCTGCACAGTTACCTCATTCTCTGTGCTCGTTTAACCACCTCGTTTATCACAGCCCTCTTTTCTATTCCTCTAGCATCTCTCATAGGGTCCCCTTGATGATGTGTTCATTTCTCAGTTTTAATTTAGTTGTGGTACCAAAGCAGCAAGGCTCCTAAACATCAACTCCACTCCACGCTTCAAACTGCAACATTTATAAACAATAAGTCCCATGAAAAGACCAAAAGCAGCACTGTGTTAGTGTTGGGGAGACGGACTGTCAGTGACACTGAGCTCTAAACTTATTGGTTACACAATATCCTACAGTAATAGTCCTGTATTGTTCATCAAAAAAAAACAAATTTCAGCCTGATCCGTCATTCAAAGGATGGAGGCATTGACACTTCACCTCATCTCTGCAGCATGCACACATTCAGCTGCAGGTTTGATTGGAAACTTTTCTTCAGCGAGGGGAGGAAGGTATTCCTATTGTGGCGGAGCGTACAGTTAGAGAGAAACAATAAGTCTGACCTTGGTATTGAACATTATAGATGTCCCACTCACAGAATCTTTCGCTCAAGTATTTCTCTCATTGAAAGCTCCTTAGACACACACATCCACACACACACACACACACACACACACACACACACACACACACACACACACACTCACTCACTGAGTATCAGCCTTGAGAAGGTTGTAAAAAAATGAAAAAAAATTTAGCTGAAAGGTCTAAGCAGTGAATGACCACAGATGATATAACTAAACTCATAAATACAAAAGCTGTCATATCTAAAAAATTTGACCATTTTAAGGTGAAAGAATAATTACCACCAGGACTTTAATTTGTACCAATCTCTACAGAATAACCCTGGATTCATGCGAGGCTAATATTCATATTCCTGCAATAAAGAAACAACGGACTACGGGTTTCTAAGTGCATCACCTCAAATTGGGACATTATATAGCATCCATAAAAACATGTAACCGTAGCAGTTAAGAGCAACCTTCACAGACTGTTTTAAGTTCATCAAATTGATCAAATATATTAACTTTAAAGTCACTTTAATCAACCAGATAAGACACATTTCTTACCGTTCGGTAACAGGTCTCATTTTTTTGTTTTGTAGCGTCTCTGTTGTCAACTTCAGCGCAAGCCGCCATGTGAATCGTGTCCTGGAAAACAGAAGAAATAAAAGCACAAAGATGGTTACTCACTCGGGGATTTCTACAGGAAAGCAAGTTCAGAGGAACTGGGGAACTTTTCGAGACTTGGTGCTTCTTAGTAAAAGAAAGATGAAAAGGACACAATTAGTTTGATGAACCTCTTGCAGAGTTCGATCGGCTGCAACATCTCCTTTCATGACATCCATGAAAAATACACCAAACAGAGATGAAATAGTTAAACAGATGGTATTGTCTTCTTTCCACCTGCTGTCATCTCTCTTAAAAAGATTAAAAAAAATACGACATAACTAAATGTACTGTTGCAGTAGCTTGTTGTGCCTTGGCCTTGATTTCGACTGACTTTTGGTCTGTATACATCACTGTCTGGGTCACTCTCTGGTCCTGCGCTCTGACATTACAAGACTTCAAGGGCCCTCAGTGGTGGCAATGATTTGTTCTGCCAACGCCGAGGATCCAACCGTCACATTTCTGTCTAACTGTGTTGACAAAAAGCAGACAACCTGCAAACCGACCTTATATCCACTTCACCCTCCAGTCCTCAGTAACATCATAACTTGATCAAACATTTTAGTGCTTGAAGGAAGAATTTAACAGACTTCTTCTCCTCTATCTCAGCGTCCTTGGTGAGGTGCAGACCTACATAATGGGAGACAGACACACGACGCCTCTCACTGCCTCACTTCTTTCTCATATGCAGGCGCCCTCTCCTCTCATACCACTAATTTGCAATACCTCTCTTTTCTACTATACCAATAGACACACACACACACACACACACACACACACACACAAAGGCTTCATGCATAACCTCCCTATCTGCTGTCTTGCTGCCCCCGTCTCTACCTTCATCCTCTTTTCTCACCCAAGGTCTCTCAGAATAATAGCAAATAGCAGATTAGCATTCGCCTCCCAACGATGTGGTGTGACTACTCTCACACACTCACACACACACACACACACACACACGCACACACTCTGTTAGGCCACTTTCCGAGACCTAACAGAGTTAATTAAGGTGAAGTAATTATTACTGTGGAGCTGACAAACCCACTTGTGTGACCATAGGTAGCACACACACACACACACACACACACAAAACACCAACGCAAACATTATGTAGCACGAAATAAATAAATCCTATAAACCGATCGATCGGTTTATCAGTCACCGCTTTGACACAGTGGACAATCCTCTATATATTGTCTTGGAACATTACATTTTGATATCTCTTTTGGAAATGAGTAAATATGTTCCCTATGTTGGTACGAGAGGTCAGGGGTCACTGAACACCATGTGGAGCAGACAAATACACGTGGGGACCTGTTTGATTGTAAAGACTGCAACTACAATTACAACCTGCGTCTCAGTGGAGAGTTTTAGTGTCTTGTTATTTCAGAAGTCATTGAACGCCTCCCACAGCATGTTTGACCCCCTCTCTGCTTTCAGTCCTTTTAATATCTCAAATATCATTTCACTTATTAAAGAGAAAGTAAATCAATAGGATGTCAATGCCTCTGTGTGTGTATGTGTGTGTGTGTGTGTGTGTGTGTGTGTGTGTGTGTTGGAGAACAGAAAGAACTGATGGTATTAGTCAAAACACAAATACACACTCATATGAAATCTCAGAGCGCTGTGTGGGAGCGACTAAGAGGCTGAATGAAGGCGATGGTTATCAGCCGCTGTAGGAAATTAAAGGGACGGTCCAGCGCTAATATGGAGATATGCAGATTGGTGATAGAGGCCCACACACACATAGACATACACACACACACCTAGATGCAGGTACAGTGTGTGTATCAGTGTGTAACAGCAAGGGGATGAGCAGGTTGATTAATCTCTGTGACATGAATACCAAATCAGGCTAAAACACGAGTGTGTGAGCGAATGCAGACAGCATTGCTGGAGGTTATGGTGGTGATGGTAGGTGTGTGTGTGTGTGTGTGTGTGTGTGTAGAGCATGACACAAACCATTTCTCATATTTAGTTTTCAGAATCGATGAGTCTTTGAGAATTGTGATATTTTTTTATGTTTAGTCTTGCTTCGAAGTAAATAAAGTTGACTCCACCAGCAGCAATTAAGATGAATTGTTATATACAGAATGGATTATAACGTGACATTATGTAGTTACAACGAAGTATTTGGTCAGTGAGATACCTCACTGTGTATTTCTTAGATATACTCTTTCACCAAAACATTTGAGTGATCTTTTCTTGATCTTTCCTGCCATTTGTGTGTATGTAGCCCAACACAAACAGAGAATACCATGTGCTCCACCATGTGCACCACTTCTCCTTGCTAAGCCTCACATTATGCACACTCTGTGTGCAGCAGCAGAACACTGCACCCCTGTGCTTCCCTTTGCTTTTATCTCTATAAAGTTCAACCCGATGCCTTTAATAATGCGTTTAAAACTCTGAAACTTCCTCAACTGAACTACTTACAGATATGCATGTGTTGACAAGGGACCACATGTAATGGGTTCGTATGAAGGGGTCACGAATAGAAGAAGATTATTCTGTTTTAATTCATCAGATAACTATAACCTTTTAGTGACATTTGTCCCTTTTGGGTATCCATAGCCCCTGACAACTTCTGAGTAATCTGAACACTGTTGCTGTATTAACGACATGATGTTTGGACGCTGGTACGAGACCTTTACTGACAGTAAATGACAAGAAGTACGCCAACGGTACCCAACAAAGGCATTTCAAATGTCAAACATAAGGAAGGAAATGGAAACCCTACTTGACGCGGCTTTTCTTTACCATGCGAGACGTCGTGTGTTTCTTTAAAACATCTCCAAAAAACTGAAAGTCTAAAGCAACGTGAGCGACACATTTAGACAGAGAGAGACAAAGAGAGTGAGAGAACGCGAGTTAAAGTGACTCAGGGGAGCGGCGATAAGGAGAGTTGAAGAGAAAGCGAGTCCGGGCCACGATGTTGTTATTACAGATTGATATACTCTTCAGGTCCCTCTATTTCAAACAGCTCACCTCTCAAAATCAGATGCTCTGAGCTCTTTTGATGACTACTTTGAGCTAAATGTGTGTTATTACAGGTATTACATGAAATTGCCCGCGTTAGATGAAGGGGATTACGGTGCTTTTGGGTCAATACTTCCTCTGAGCTGTTTGGCTGCTGGAGCTGTGGAGCGATTAGGCTTTTGTCTGTCAATCCAACTTCATAGAGGCGGTTATCTCACACACACACACACACATCTAACCGTCTACTGTCACACACACTCGTGCAGACAACGCAGTGATTATGGCGGTAGGTATATCGGGTCCATTCAGCATGAGAGGTGTCAGGTCTAGTGGTGTGCTGAGCTCAAATGTTCACTGGATAGGCCTTAATGCTGAGAATACTCTACAACTTACAATGACAGAACAACCTGTTCCTGTATCAGACCTTTCATCTGGAAACCACATCATTGAATAAACCAATCATGACTTTAGCTTGAAGACTTGGCTTTTTCTTAATGTGATTTAATATACTAATTGCAATGTGCATGTGCTGTTTGAATCCTCTTCATGTTTATTTATTTAGCCTATTTTCTAGTTGTTATCGCTTATTTCTACCTCTTTGAAGTGTCATGAAGTTGTTAGTTGTTCTGTGTGATTTGACTGCATTTTAAATATAATACTCATATCCATTTATAGGAACAAATTATTAATTCATTAACAGTATCACTGACATAATATAGAGGATATCACCTCTTCTACCAAGGTCTCATTTGTTCACAATGATTTCTCACAAAGGAATCACAATTAATGTGATAATGGGGTATTGCTCTTGTAAAATATTGTATTTTTCATTCGGATAAATTCGATTAACGTACTTTTTTGCAAGTATCTCTTGTTTTAATCCAGCACGAGCTGGAGCAGAGTGATGTTATTAGGGGGCTGAGCTGACTGGCTATGGTGGTTTCCACTTTACTTTTGTGTGGGTTAATGAAAAAAACCCTGAAAAACCCTGAGCCTAATGGGATTTGGTGATAAGAAATTACCAGCGCCAGGTCCTTCTCTTTTGTCTCTCGCTGGGAGTTCAATGGCTCAGCCAATAAGAGAGCTCAGGGCCTCGGTTACCGTAGAGACGAGAGAACACAGGCCACCGCGTCGCCATGGTAAACAGGGGAGCTGTTTGTCAAAGTTCTTTTGACACACACGCACACACACACTGTACGTACACAAGTGAAGTCTGTGTCCTACGGTGCTTTTTCTCAGGAAACAATTACAATTCAAACTGAATAGTTTTATTCGGGGACTAATGCAAGAAGATAAAGAGGAAAAAGAACTGTATGCCATGACAGGAGGGAATCCCCCACAATGCACCAGGGCAGCAGAGAGGCAATTCACCATCTATTGGAAGACATTAACGAGTGAGCGTGTACCAAACTTAGTTCACTTTTTTGTTTGAGTTTAAAACACACGTTCTCTCTCGTTTGGGTGTCATATGAACATGTTTAATAAATTAAAAAAGTGGCAAACAAATTACCCGGAACACCAGCAACACTGACAGACATGCACGGATGGTGTGTCGATATTTAGTCACATTATTAAATCACAATCCAATCAATCAGAGACTGATTGGCAGTTTCAGGATTTGGAAAACGTTCCATACACATGTATTAATTATGTTTAAGTAGCGTTTATATTTTACAATAATTACAAGGACAATTAACCCAGTTAAAATATCAGAGAGGCAAATATATACATTCATAGAAATAGAGCATAGAGCATGTCTTTTTTATCCCCATTTGCACTGATGCACAACATCAATATTTAGACAGTTTTTAAATCGCATCTCAATCAAGTATGATTCAAATTTTCCCAAGAGTTTTATGATTGGAAGTTTCAGGATGTGTAAAATGTTCTATACACCTGAATAATGAATTGTAGTATTTATATTTCACACTCCTGCATCGCAGTGTGAGAGACGGGGCTCTGATTTCTGTGGTGGTTGCAGCCTGTGTTTTTCTGTTTAACTC